AGTACGACTAGACTGGGGTGTATCATTTGGAATGCTACTATCACAACCCGTTCTCCTTTTTATTCACAAAAGAACAGGGTTATATCACATACACATCACGTATTGAAAACAAAATAGACCTAATGCCAGGAACTGTATAAACGGTAAATATCGCAATCAGTGATTTATGATTGAAAACAGGCATCGTAGTCGCACATTCAAGAACACGATTCAGTGTAATTTTCAGATGGGATCGTTTACCGAAAACGCAATTCTCATTGGTATTCATCCCATCAGTGGAGATCTAGGGTTGGTGTAATGAGGTCATCTGAAGGCTCGGCATATATGTACTGTAGGTATATTCCTTTCTTCTGTACTTAATTTGGATTTTTGTTTCTCGAGAAGTGGCCACATTTTTCCAATTTATAACTCCAGGCTTGATTCATTTCAGTTCAGTTCTCACAACCCTTGACCATGCACTTTCGTGCGCCGGTTTTGGTTGCCCATTCGGATAAAAGAGCAGAATGAAGATTAGAATGTTAAGAGCAAATTCAAGCAGAAGATAGCGAATTTATAGAGACCGATGTTAACGTAATAGTGAGTAGATGCACGAGCGCCACTGTTTGCGACACCCAGCCATATCGCTCAGTGTCTGTAACCATCGGTGACCATGATCTCGGGGTCCCCATTCAGGGAGCCTAACGGGACCTATGTGACCCAGTTTACTCTCTAGGGTCTCCATACTCTCATGCCAGGTCTTAGTTTGACCGCCCTTAACCAGGCTTGATTCACTCCTAAGTGAAGGCAGTGAAATCGTACTATCATGAGAGCTTTCGTTTTAAACGTCCTTCAACGCATGTGAAGTTATTTTTGCATCAATGTTTCCTATGGGGCTCACATCTACCTGCTATATCATATCTCTCCCCTTCGTTTACCATTGTCTTTTCTCCACCATAGGACAAAGAGAATGTCTATCTATGCATGGAGTACATGCCAGGAGGAGATCTGTACTATTGGCTAGAAAAGTATGACACTTTCAATGAAACACAAGTTCGATTCTACTTATCGGAGACTGTGCTTGCACTAGAGGCGTTGCACAACTTGAAATTCATTCATCGTGATTTGAAACCAGACAATATGCTGTTAGACGCTCGCGGACACCTGAAACTCGCCGACTTCGGATCCTGCGTCCAGGTTGGTGAAGACGGTTACCACTTCTGCAACTCCCCTATTGGCACTCCTGATTACATCAGTCCCGAAATGCTAAATTGCCAGTCGAAACCAGGAAAAATTGGACCGGAATGCGATTGGTGGGCGCTAGGAGTGATTGCGTTTGAGATGTTATTTGGCGAACCAGCATTCTACGGACAATCTTTGGTAGAAACCTACAGCCGAATTCTTAGCCATGAAAAATCGCTTACCATCCCAACCGATGCAGATCCTATCTCCGCTGATTTGGAGAGCCTTATAAGAGCACTATTGAAACCGGCTGCAGCAAGACTGGGTTCGTTAGCGAAAGTTAGAGAGATAGACTCCTCGTTGAAGGACGTTGCTTCCGCGATCACCGCATCTACAATGCAAGTGAAATCTCATCCATTCTTCCAGTCTGTTGTGTGGCATCAAGTTCGTTCACAGGAAGCCCCCATCAAACCGGTAGTCAATTCTGAGACTGATACATCCAANACATCCAATATCAATTTTGACGAGCGAGACTTAAGCATCGGCTCTGGAGGTGGTGCTAAACTGCCCCAAATCAGTGGTGCATTCGCCCCAAAAAAGCCTTCAGCTCCAGCTTATTTCACCGGGAACAATTTGTCTTTTGCTGGTTATACATTCAATCGTGAACATACCTATCTCAGAAACACATTATCCGCGCCCAGTGCAGACCAGACAAACAACCACGATTCGGGTAACAAAAGACAGGCTCTTGAAAACGAACTTGCTNAGACAGGCTCTTGAAAACGAACTTGCTGAACTAAAGGCCCAGTTGCAAGCGCTAGAGAAACAAAATGCCATGAATGGTGTGGCTCTGAAAGATGCTCAACGTAGACTGGCGGAATCCAACTCTGAATTAACGGAGGCTAAAATAAATAAATCAGATATGGAAAAAACCATATCCGATTTACGTGCTCGCCTGTCTACAGCTCAGGAGGCACGTGACCAGTTGAATGAGAATCTCACACAGTTGAAAGCTCAGCTTCAACAGACTGCGGATAGTTTTGAGGCGGAACGCCGCAAGCTGCGTGCCTATGAGGAGGAAAAGGTTGGACTGTCTGATCAGATTGAACAATTGCAAGGCCAACTACAAAAGTTACAAGTGCAGTTGGACGAACAACGGAAACTAAGCGAAACCATACAGAAATCCGTTCCATCTGAACAATTCTCGGCTCAACAAGAGCGTATCCGTTCATTGGAAGCCGAAGTGACTGGTTTGCAAACAGAAAACCGCGAGGCTCGACAAAAAGCCACACTCTTGGCCAGTGAGGCATCGAATTTACGTCGTAACTATCAGGACCAAGTGAATGAACTAAACGATCAACTTTCAGTAGCCCAAAATTTCTGTCGTTCATACAAAACCCAAATGGAAGACGATCAGAAATCGTTGGCAGCAGCAAAACAACGAGAACAGAGCTTATTGGAGGAAGTTGAAAAAGTCAAACAAAACCTGGAAGCTGCTATCCAAGCGCGACGATTGATCGAAGACACTATGGTTGTGCGAGAATCGGAACTGGCTGGAGCTAAAGTAGAGCTGCGTAGTTTAGAAGAAGCGTTCGAAAATTTCCGGAAGCAAATAGGCACGGAACTGAATCGACTTCAGGCTTTGCATGATCAACGAGTGAACGAGTTGAACGAGGTTTCCGCCCAGTTGGATGAGATGCGCAATCGGTGCTCGGTGGAACAGGAAAACAATGAGCGACTAACCGAACAGGTTTGCAAACTTCAGAAAGAAAAAGAGGTTCAACAACGAAATATGGATGTTATCGTGAACAAGTTCTACCAAGAAATGGAGCATCGAATCGCTCCGGCTGAGGGACGTAGTCGTGCACGGAAAAAGCAGGATAACGAAGCCTATCAACTGTTGGAGAGAAACTACAAAAAACTGGAATCCACATCTCAACGTTCGATCGCAGACCTACGAAGAACCATCGATCAATACAAGCGTGATCTGGCCGAACGGACAAACACAATAGCTATCCTGACGGAAGATTGTCGCGCGAAAGATGCGGAATTGGCACAAATCAATGCCCTTGTTACTCAATTATATGCAAGACTAGATCAGACTGCACCTACGCAGTCCACTCCAGTCAAGAGAAATGAATCATTGAACTCCCACACGGGTGCGGCAGGTGACAACAGTGGGACATTTGTTCGTGTTTCCTCCACGGGTTCATTCACTGGCAACCCGAACTCCCCTATTCCTCAGGAAATGACGGTCAGTACAGATTTTGGCGATCCTTCTCGTTCCGACATATTGTCTACTGTCCTGGAACAAATAGTGGACCTGGATGGAAAGGGTCGCGCGCGAAACAAACAAACATGGTTGCCTAAATACGCAGTTCTGAAACCGTTCGTCCTGGCATTCTATGTGTCTCGTGCAGATAAAGAATTGGGAGCCGGACCAGTTGAAGAAATTCCTTTATGTCGAGTAAGTTATATTCTTTTCTCACCGATCTGTTCTTTTAGATTATGTATCAGTTGGATTATTAGTTTCTATTGAGTAGCCCTAAACACCTTTTCGTTTGTAATAGTTCACTTGAAGTCCTACGCTCTAGCAAACAATGGTTTCCTTCGATGATGACGTTTACCGATGTTTTCTAATATTTTCCCTGAAGCAACACCCCTATGCTGTTTGATCATAGATTGTTTGAGCAATTGTTTGACCCTATTTAGGCTATTGTGTAAAAGCCAACAACAGATCAGCCTCATTTATCGAATGTATTATAATTCAAAGCTTCGGAACTGATTTCGCTGCATCCGATCTACAGAGTACAGGTGTTTTGTACGGGTGAATGCAGATCCAGACTTATTGCAAACCTTTCTGAATAGTTGAGCTAATAGTGTGACTTTGTTCAGCTTGCATTTATCACACTAAGTTTTTTTATATTAAAAACACTGTTGTGTGGCGAACAGATTATGAGGTAAGCTCCATAGCCACGAGAACTTACTGTACGCTTATGGAAACCGGCAGCACAAGCCCCGAGACTTGGAGTGGCAGACCTCGTAAGGTGCCACTATCATAGTGTTCTTACACAAAGGGGTTTGCTCGATTTCCGGTCTCATCGTACCTAAAAGGTAGGATCATGTAATGGGTAAAGAAAACGAGTTTTGTCGTTGAAGTTGCTACATATCTCTTGGTTGAATCCGGGCGAAGTATCAAAGCAGAAACCTCAATTGGACTTTGCCGGCTTGAAACCTTTGCGCCACAGCAACGTTCAGTCGTCCCTGAAGTGCCGAACAGTCCAGCTGCTCTCGCGATACAGAATAATGAAATAATCATTTTTGCAGATGATAGACGCAGGCTTTCATTATCCAATCATCGTTTTCAACAATACATTACGCGAATCTGGTGAGACAGCCAGACCGACAATGCCCAAGTTAGGCTCATTTTCGTTCATGTAACCTTACACTTTCGCCCAGCCGTTTTTACTGGTGTCTAGTTGACTCATTTGAATGGAGCAGCAGAGGGAAGGAGAAGAAAGTTGGAAGCAGTATCAGGGTAGCGAAACAGGATGTAATTAAACTAAATTTCTAAATAAATTGAGTAAATGCATGAGCGGTACTAGTTACTACATTCAGTCGCATCACTCAGCTTCTCTACCGATCCATTTGACTGATGATGAGATCTTCCAACTGGAAATGTGACCCGGTTGTCTATTTCATTAGTCAGGGTTATAATATCCTCACACAGGGTCTGACTATCCTTCCGCCCACTTCCTGCCTCGGTCAGCACCGCACTCTGAAGGGCTCCAAAGGGTGATGTGCATAGCATATGCCTCGATCATGGCAATCTCTGGAGTTCAAGCACTTCGGTGTGTGACCACGATTGCCCCAAATTCCATCTAACTTCGACAGCGATGTTCAAACCTCGATCACCGGTTAGCCAAAGTTACCTGGAGAGCATTATGTTATTGCGATCGCAGTTGTTGCCACATGGGCTTGGGCTCGTGTTGTTGTCTGAAACCGGAGATAGTTGGTACAAGTCAGTTTTTACAACCATTAGCCGTGCACTTTTATGCGGTGGTTTTGGTTGACTATTTGGAAGAAGCGTGTGGTTGGATTCCGTGGACGTGTTCCTTAACGAAAGACATTCTCACCATTAAGTCGTAACTACGTGATCCATTTAGCCCCATGGGGCAGGCGGGCATTAGTTCCTCTAAGAAGCTGTCCAAGAAATTCGTGCCATAGAGGAAGGTTGATTTTCAGTTTATAGTTGTAGAAAGTGCTCGCTGTTGGCATTACATATGTTGTCTGCAAATTACATCCATTTGGACAACTCACGTCTGCAGTTTACCTGTTAACGGTCTTCGTATCATCAGGGACAGCTGTGATCTTTCTGTGGTGAGCTCGTTAAGTTTACAGTCGAAATAATCTTTCTTGGGTGTGTAGACTGCAATCGGTAGTTGCGTAGGTATACATAACATTTGACTGCTTATTTTTCCGGTTTCATCTGGATAGTTCGGCCAAACCTGTGTGTGTGTGTGTGTCTACGCATATACTGGGGCCATCTGATAGCCAGTCCAACCGGGATGATTTAGCAGTTGAACTCAACGTGATTCCCATCCCGGCATAACCCGATGCCGCTCTTTCTGGACAGTCAAAATGTCGTAGGTTTCTGATTTTACAGCCATTTGCCATTCATTTTCGTCAGACTGTTTTACTTGCTGTCTCGTCGCCGCTCATTTGGATGAATGAGTGAAGAGAAGGTTGAAATGTTCACATCAGTGTCAGAGTGAAAATGGAGTATTCATGAAGACTAAGGTTACAAAGGTTACAAACGGGCTCCAATGTTTACGATACTCAGCCATATCACTCGTTTTCCCCAACCATTGATTCTAATGATCCGGAAGTCATCTAAGAAGGCGACTCCGACCGATGTGAGCAAGTCTCTTTGTCATGGTCTTCATATTCTCATGTCCGGTTCTTCTTTGGTCACCCCATTACCCTCAAGTTGGCAAATCTCAGTCGAGCCTTCTGTATGTTTGCCGATACTTCATTCGTGATGCGTCCACCAGGTGAGATATGGTTACCCAGATAGCGAAATTTGTCCACTTCCTCTGTTACTTCTCCAGTTAGAGTGAGGTTGGGGTTTGGTCCAACCCCGTCGCGTAGCGACAGTTTACACTTCGTGGGTGCAAAACACATGCCGAACCTAGTTACACTAGCATTCAAACTACCCAGAAGAGCTCGCAACTCATATCTCACTTGAAAGTACAGAATCGTATACATACTACAAGTCAGACAGTCTGTCATGTCGGAGCGGATCGATGCCACTATCCTCACACGAGGACAGGGTTATTTCCATCACCAAATATATAACGAAGTTAAATAGAAAAGGAGATTGGGCTACTCTGACGAACACCAATTTCTGGGGTGAACTCGAGCGACAAGGAGTCATAAGTTTGGACTCGGATTCGGCGATTAATATAAAGGGATCGTACTATTGAAGTGACTCATCACAATGAACCTATCGGGTCTTATGTGGTTCGCCACTCCAAGTCCCGTGGCTTAGGTTACCAGTTTCCATCACCGAACAGCAGGTCCTTGTGACAGTGGGGCTTTCCCCGCCTGCTGTTCATCACACGAAAGTGTGTAATAAAAAAGGGAAACGCAGCACCAGAGCGGTCGACTGAATCGAAAGCCGCTTTCAGATCGATGAAAACAGAGATGGTAGGTCTACGAAAAGAATGTATTTGGTCTAGAATTTAGTGAACTGATAATGTTGTCGGTATTACTTCGACCAGGTCTAAAACTAGTCTGGTTCTCACGCGTGCACCGTTTTTGTGCCGTAGATAATCGATGGAATATTACACCCGCAAGAATTTTGGAGACAATTTTGATCATTTTAATTCCTCTGTGGTTCTTACAAGAGGATGTCACATTTCTTGTAAATGGACAAGATGACCAATTCACACCACTCAGATGGAACCTGTTCCTCTCCCACTCGGAAACCAGGAGTATGGTCAACTGCAAAGCCAAGTCTAGACCATCCTTAAAACCCGATGGGAACAGCCATCTGGGCCGGAGGCCTTATACCTTTTGAAAGCCTATTCCCCTGGAAACCACCATTTCAGATGGAGAACTGATATCAGCTAGCAATAGTTGCCTAGTTTTTTATTGTTGGCATCCGTTTCCAGCGTCTTTGTTAGAGATATTCACCGGGTGTAGGGGAATCTGGCTCATAACAAAGCGTGATCAGTGTCCACAATTGGTGACCAATGAGAGCATCGGTCTTGAATGGATAACCGTCAGCGGTAGCTGACAGCAATGTGATCGATTGGGGTCCATTGCTGTGAAGAGCATGGGTGTTTCCATTTGAAGCGGTGTTGTTTCTTGTAGGATAGGTTCACGCGAAGTTAAAGTAAGCACTCCCCTTTGTTCATTCGATTTATCTGATATTGCTTACGTGCAACCTTGAAAATAGGTTCAATTACTTCATTTTACATGCTGAAATTCGTAAGTTGCAAGTTAGAGATGAAACCAGAGATGGGGCTAGTTTTGAATCATTCGATTGTTTGGAGATAGATCAAGGAGGTTTACGTTATTTTGTTAGATCTTTTCAAGTGATTTATTGGCGGGGCCAAATATGGTGCAAGTTACATTCGTCTTTTCGTTGAAAATCAGTCTGCTACGATCAGTCATTTCACACAGCTCTTAAAGTTTTCTCTCTCCTTACTTTGGTTTAAGAAGTGAAAAGAAAGTAAAGAATTTTTTCTTATGAAAATTTACCGCGGTTTGCAGTAATTTCTCATCAGTATGTATTGCTCGGGGCTGTCTCAAAATAAACTCTTAAACTGAGTTCATTTTCGGCATTTCTTGACTAAATGGATTTGAGCACTTAATGTGGCATTCATTCAGCGTTCATCCTCCGCGTTGGCCTCTCAGCTGATTGTGATAGGTTCTCTTTTCAACCGGTCTGGTTTCCGCCTCGACAGTGTGCTATTCCGAGAGAATTGAGACTCCCACGTCACCAAAGTCCTTCCTCGAAATCGATTGTGTGCTCTCGTCCTTCCGACCCATGTGCAGGTTATATTTTGTCATCCGCTTTCTGTGCCTTTGTGTGTGCGCGCACGCGTTCATACGTGCGTGCGTTTGTCAGCTCGTGTCTACAACGAAGGCAGATCGATGAGCGTTGAATTACTCAATGCTTTATATGTTCACCATGGTGTGCTTGCGTGTGCACACGTGAGACGTGAAATAAGAACGCGCGCGTACATAACAAACCACCTTCCCTCGGGGACAGAGGCGGATGTGGTCAGTTCACTTTGGTCCCATCTGACTTGTTCCGCATTTTGTTCTGTCTATTTGATTTGTG